AATGTGCCTGGGAAGGTAGCAGGAGATAGCTCAATAACTTGGGTCCCTGCCACCCACATGGGAGACCAGGGTGGAATTCTTGGCTCCTGGCTACAGCTTGGCCCAGAACTCGCTGTTGCAACCGTTTGGGGAGTGAAGCAGCAATGTCAATGTCAAGTGAACACTTGGTCCTGGGAGTGTGCAGCTTGGGGGACTGGGGGGAAGTTGGGACTGGGTATAAAAATGCAGAAGTTAGCCGAGAATGGATATGTAAACGCACGGCAGGAGTTCCCAGAAATGAGAGATGTTCCTCAATTCACCCAATTCCCACCCTTCCCTTTTGCCTCTGATGCTGGATCTGGCTATCAGCAGAAGTGGACCTGCTACAGTCGCTCATTTCCTGCCAGGTTGCCAAGCCTCTGGCTTTGTGACCTGTTGTCAGGGAGTTCTGAGATAAACACCCCCAGTCTAGGGGAAGAGGGAGGCCAACCGTGATTCCAGCATTGCACCGGAGACCGAGAGGCTTGCCAGCGACTTCCACCCGAGGGGACTGCGTCTTTTGTAATCTACAAAGGTGGCATGCCCACTTGTGGGCTTTAGTCGCAGAGAGGCATTGATGGCTTTTAGCCAGACCTCACCCAAGACGCTTCCCCTGCAGCCACAGTCCTCCATTTGCTCTGGGGCTGCTGGTGGCAGCCCCTCCTACACCAGCCCCCCCATCCTCTCTGCTGGCTCCAAGCAGACTTCGTGCCATGGAGCAGTGCCCTGCTGCCTTGGGGTTTTTAGAGCCCTGGCTGTTGCAGTGGAGTTTCATAGTCCTCCCTCCCTTTGCTACCTTCAGGACTTCTGAGGATGGCATGCTGGGCAGCCCGGGCTGCACCTCTGGATTTCCCCCTCCGTCTTATGCCTGTCGGGATCTCCTGGGTGGGAGACGCCCTTGGCTTGGAATCCCATCACATCTGCTGAATGTCTCCCTTATGTGATTAGGTCGGGAACTTGCTGTGGATCTGTTTCCTTTGCATGGCATCCAAGGGCACTTAGTGGCTTTTTCTCCCTCTATTCTTTAAATGATCATCTTCCTTGGTGTTGTGTTCACTTCCTTTTTGGGGCTATATGGTCTCTACCTTTCATGCCACGTGTTTTCCTTGGGTTGTGTGTGTGCTGGCACGTTAATTAGGGGTGCCGCCTTGGGATGCTGGCACAGGCAGCCCTCTCATTGGGGAACTGTCTGGAAATCATGGAACGGATTCCTCTAGTGTATTTGCCAAGACCTGAGCCCCTCCTCCTGCAGGCAGCAGCTGGACATTGGTTACCTGGGGAGGTGGAACCTGGGAACAGCTAAGTTCAGGTGCAGCTCCTGGGCTGGCTGTACACAGCAGGCAGTGGGTGGCAGTGGTCATTCTCTCCCATTCTCTGCTACTTTAACATGCAGTTCCGCATCAGGTTTATCTGTTGAAGTTTTCCCAAAGCCTCCAATGCCTTCCTGTCTCCTGCCTTCACTTGGTCCTTGCAGCCGAGGGCCCTTTGTTCCTTCCCTGGCAATAGTTTTGTCTGGGGAGACACCAGTCGCCAGACCTTGTGCATTTTCAAGTTTTTAGACATCTAGCTCTGTTAACTTGGTATTTTTTAAACTTCCTGACATTTTTTTTTAATTGCACAGGAATAGTCATCTGTAGTTTGGCAACTTCAAGGCCCAGCATGTGGCCTGCACTGGTTAGGAGTGGCTTTCTTGTCTGTAGCCATGGAGCCACGTGGTAATGGACAAAGGGATGTATCTTCGGTAAGTGCTTGGTAGTGCTGCTTACCCAACCTGATTGTTAAAATCCTCTAAGTTCTTAACTTTTACTCCTTTGATCTTGTAATAAAAGTAATGTTAGGGGACAGAAAGGCTCAGATGCAGCTGTTAGTCAATTCTTTTCTTGTGCATTTCTAGCATTTTTGCTTTAAGAAAATTGAGAGAATTAGGACAGAACTCTTCCATCTACTGGTTCACCACCCCCCAATGGCTGGAGCTGAGCTAATCCAAAGCCAGGAGTTTCTCCTGGATCTGCCATGTGGGTGCAGGGTCCCAGGGCCTTTGAGCCATCCTCTGCTGTTCTCCCAGCCCCCAAGCAGAGAACCGGATTGTAAGATGACCAGTCAGGGCTAGAACCAGTTCCCCTGTGGGATAGTGGCACCTCAGGTGGAGGTCTGGTATATTACACATTGGTATTGGGTTGGCCCAGCATTTTTGCTTTCTATTGAATGCCATTTTATCTAAAATTAGAAGTTCCCCCTTTTCTATCCTTGTGATAAATATCTATCAACATATGATCATTTGTTTGTCCCACTCATTGCTTTCCTTGAATTCCGTGTCACCATGTGACGACATCCCAGGAAGAGGGATGGTGGTCCCTGGTCAGGGGAACAAGGGACAGCTCTATAGAGGGCCTGACAAGTTTGATCTTGACAATGAGGCACTGGAGGTGTGGACGGCTAGGTGGTAGGTCCCTGGAGGCCTGGCTGCAGGGCAAACCAGGCACCTGGGACCATGGGGACCTGACATTTACCAGAGTGCCAGGAGAGGTGGAGCGTTTGGCCTCGTGTCCTGCACCGGAATGCCTGGGTTCAGTCTCCATCTTCCTGCCCATGCAGACCTGTGAGGCAGAGAGGCTCAGGTGACTGGGTCCCTACAGCCCACATGTGGGACCTGGATGGAGTGCCAGTTCCTAGCTTCAGACCCAGCCCAGCCTGGCTGTTGCAGGCCTTAAAGAACTTGCTCTGGTAAGCAGCACAACACTATGAGGAAGGGGAGGAGGCTGCAGGCGGAGGTGTGGTTAAGGTGGCAGGGGACAGGGACAGAGTCGAGGAGGGACCAGCTAGGGTCTGCCTGGGGAAGAATCGGGCTACCTTCACGCCATGCTTAGGGCTGGTGGTGAGCCTGGATGGAGAATGCATATGGAAAGGGGACCCCACAGGGCTTGCTGTGCCCAGGAGGGACTGTCACTTGCTCCTGTGAGACACCCGTTCCTGAGAACGTGGGTAGCTGGGTGGACCTGCGCTGAGAGGAGCAGAGACAACTGTCAAAGGCAGGGCTGAGGAAGGAGTCCCTGTGCTGGCTTGGTGGGGAGGACAAGAAGGCACAGCAGCCATGCCAGCAGCCAGCTGTAGACTGCAGGAGCAACTGACTGGAGGAGAGCGAGGGACACCCTCATTAGAGGCCAAGGTGCAGAATGGCTGACTCCACTCCCCACTGGCTGCAGGCAAATGGCAGGGTGCAGAGAGCAGGAGAACAGGCCAACAGTCCAACCATGGGGGCTGGGGCAGCCCTAATCTGGCAAGTGGCTCCACAGCATGCCCTCCTCCTGGCTGAAGGGGCACGAATGCCAGAGGCCAAGTCCTCAGGCAGAGGCAGGTGATTGCCCCAGGGCTCCATCTGGCCACTGGACTGACCACAGCCTGCCCTGCCAAGTCCTCAGCTGGTGTCTGCACTTTTTCTGAGAGGCTCCTGGGTCTTTTGCTGTGCGTCTGTACTAGGAGGTGACTATGCACTAACTGCTGGGCATTGAACTGAGTGGTGCCAGAGGAGCCAAGGCTGCATGGACCCTGTGAAGGGCATGGTGGGAGGGCCTGGCTCTACAAAATCCACCCTGAGTTGAACAGGTGTTGGAAGCATAGAGCTGTTCAGTGCGGCTCAGCCGTGACTGGCTGGCTGCCTGGTGACCCCTGGGAGGTAGCTTCAGTGTGTAGGAAAGTTTCCTGCTCAGCCTGGCAGGAGCTGCAGCAGGGAGTTGGTAAAGACCTTGCTTCTAACCCATCTGAGCCAGGGAGGCCTTGGGAGATCATCTGTTCATCTCAGAGGGTGACCCCAGCACTACTGGCCACTAGGGCAGACAGTGTGGGTCCCTTCTGCAAAAGCACCCAAGACAGTGAATGGAGAGGCAAGGCAGGCTTAAAATAGCTAAATAAATCTTTAATATTTCTAATTGCAAATGTACAGAAATTGCACAGCCACCGAGTCTTAGAACACAACACCTTTCTCTGTACATTATTACATGGTCAAGTCTAGCCGGCGCCAGAGCTCCTGCCATGACTCTAGCGTTTGCATTGGTTTCTTTTCACATACTTACAAAAGGGGGCGCGGGGTAGGGAACTGGGGGTGGCTTGGTGGCCCGAGTGAGTAGAAAAGAAGGGCTGCTGCCCTGGGCTCTCTGGGTCCCCACAGGTCCCAGGTGGGAGGGGCGTGAGCGGGGCTCTGGCCCTGTTGTGGGCAGTCAGGAGCCTTCACTTGTGGGCAGTGTGGCAATTTCCTTCACTCTGGAGGTGAGCAAACCCGCCATGGACTTCTGGGAGGGGGCAGGCGGCGGCTTCCTCCGGGCTTGGTGGCTGGGATTGGGACCTGAACGAGGATGGTCCTTCCTCTGGCCACCTGCTGCGGGCAGGTTCTCTCCATCCTAGGCCAGTGGCCCCACTGGGGTGCCTCCAACCCAGACAGCTAACGACACGCCCACAAATGCCACAGGCAGGGGTGGGGGGATGCAACCCCCAGCTCCTGAGCCACCGCTGCCTCCTGCCCAACACTGTCATCTGGGTTACAAGTACCCATACGCACCGGCGGACAGCAGCCGTCCCGGCAGCCGGCGCAGCACCAGGGCTCGGGGACTATGTACAAGCCTTGGGGGAAGAGTTTACAGGACAAACACCAAGAACATTTACAAAAATTGGCAGACTCGCAGGGAAGATAAAAATCTGAAGTCTGTACACTTATACAGTTTTTGCACAGGTAAGTAAGGCTCTCGGCCTGAGAGCTCACAACCCCGCCCACCGTGCGCTCCTGCCCTGGGGCCCTCGCCTGTATTGCTAAGAGGTGCTCAGGCCTAGGCCGGGGGAGGTGGGGCTCCCCGGGCAGTGGGAGGACGAAGCTGGGCCCTGCCTGCGTGGCCACACTGGGGTGAAGTGCGCGGGACGGGGACTCCGTCCCCTCTACCAGCATCATCAGTGGTCTAGCCTAGAAGCCCCTGCTCCAAGGCGTGGCTCTGGCCCTGGGCCACACCTCTGGCACCTGCACCCTTCCTTGGGGGTGGGGGACATAGGAGGCGCCTCCCAGCTCTGCTGCCTAGGCAGACACCCCAAGGCCAGGCCTTTGAACTTAGGGGAGGGAAGAAGGGCCCAGGAGAGACCCACGCTCCTGCCCATCTAGGTCCCGCAAGGGGAAGGGGCAGATAAGCTACAGAATGGCCCGGAGCTGAGGAAAACCGGCCCCAGCCGAGGGTGCCCCTCCCCTGGCTGCAGTGCCGGGGCCTTCGGCTGGGGCCAGGAGGGTGAGGAGGTGGCGGCCGCACGCGGGGCCTGGTGCAGGCCGCTGCTGTCTTGGAGAGGGAGCAAGTCTAACATCCGCCAGGGCTGCTATTTCCCATGCAGTGCGCACGCTCAATTTAAAAGGCCCCTGTGTTCCAGCAAGCGAGCAAGCGGGCTTTTGTTTCTAATGCATACTGTGAAAGGAAAGAAAGTCACAGTTATCCACCTTCTCAGGCCTGTGGGCCACAGAGCTTTTTATACCGTCAACCAGGGCCAAGGCCAGCTTTCGGCTGGGGCTCACTGCCAGCTGGCCACTCGCTAAAGGGCCCAAGGTACATGGCCCCCAGGAGAGGGCAGGTACAAAGCACAATGCCCTTGGCTAGCTCCGCCCAAGTCTTTGGCATCTGGGAGCCCCAGGGTGTTGGCCTGGGCCCATGTGGCAGGGGAGGAAGGGGGCTTTGAACCCCTCCTACAGGAACAAGAACCAGGAGGAAAATACCACCAGCTCTGTGTGGCAGCACAGGAGAGAGACGGGAAAGGCAATTCTCCCTGGGGCCAGGAACAGCCCCACAGGCCCCATGTAGAGACAGGAGCTGCCAAGGAGGCCCGCCTATCAGTTGCCCCACAAGGGCAGGGCCTGCTTGCAGGGAGTCCGGTGTTCTGACCCTTGGGTCGCCCCCTCCCTGGCAAGGGCGTGGGGATGCATGCACTTAGCCAGGTGAAGAGGAAGAGGTGAGACACCACATTCAGTAACTGACACACAGGTTTCTGGCAGGCCCCTGCTCCCACCAGGCTGCCCCAAGCCCTAGCGTGCAGTCTCTTGCCCACACCCAACACACTTCTCAGACCGCCATGGAGGGGCGCCCGCCTCCCTCTGCGCCAGTCTCTGCCGCTCCCTCTGGCCTGCGGGCGGAGGGGAGGGGAGACGCTCTGCCTCCCCAGACCCCACCCCAGGCCACCGCAGTCCCCCTCTGCTGGGGCAGGTTAACAATTGCTGCTGTTTCGGAACTCGCCGTTCTCAGTGATCTGCAATTTGGTGGGGTTGGTGGGGGAGATGCCGTTACGGGCCTGCATGCTGTACCTCTCTTTCAGCTGTGTCAGGGCGCTCATGAGGCGGGCGTTGGCGGCATCCAGGGAGGCGATGCGCTTCTCCTGTGGAAGAGGTGAGCGTCAGCGTGCTGGCCGACAGGGAGGCCAGCCAGGCAGCCCACCAGCAGGCTTCTGGCTTACACAAGCAGAGTCCCTGTCTGCCCATTCCTCCCGCTCCCCCGGGACCTCCACTCTGCTCAGCACCCTTGGCCAAGGCCAACGTCCACCCAGGACCCCCAAGGAAGCAGCTGTCCCACCCCATCACAGACTGTCCTAGTTAGAGGACACGGGCCTCTGCCGCCACAGCTGTGTACTTAGAGAAGTCAAGATCCCCCCTTCCTGGGCTCTGGTGCCCTGATACCTGGGCATCGATGATCTTCTGCTTGGAGTCAACTGCAGCCTGCATCTCTGCGTGGTCCTTCTTCAGCTCCTCCTCCACTGACATCAACCTGCAACCAGAGGTGGCACCCAGTGAGCAGGGGTGGGCAGAGGGCATACAGGGCCAGAGACTACTCTCCTTCCCCTCTCCACCCCAGGCCTGCTCTCTCCATGTCCCACCCTGGGCAATGTTCCTGAGCTGAGGGGCAGGTCATGTGTCAGATTTTCACAGCTGCATGACGCTGTCAGGGCCCGCTGTCATAGCTGTGCTGGCTCCACAGCTGGGCAGCTGAACTCTGGCTTCGGCCACCGCTTCCCAGGCAGTGCCTCCTGTGCTACTGGACTTGGTCTGGCTCTGCCTGTGCCCAAGTGCACGGCTCTGTGGCTGTTAGCGGGGAGGGGCTCCACCAGCCAAGCAGCACTCAGGAGCACCTGCTATCCTTCCGGTTGGAGGGTAGAGTCCCGAAACAAAGGCAGCAGAGCAGGAGGATCCCTAGAGAATACTGTGGGCCCACTGCCCCACACAGCTGCATCAAGAAGTGGGGTCCAAAAAAAGCCCCTCACTGAAATCAAGATGTAGCATTCCACAGCAGATGAGGGAAGCGGCAGATGACATTCAATTTTTTTAAGTTTTATTTTTATTATGAGAGTCAGATATACAGCAAGGAGGAGAAAGGGAGGAAGATCTGTCCACTGATTCACTCCCCAAGCTGGAGCTGTGCCAATCTGGGGCCATCCTTGACTGCTTTCCCAGGCCACAAGCAGAGAGCTGAATGGAAAGCAGGGCCACTGGGATTAGAACCAGTGCCCATATGGGATCCTGGTGTGTTCAAGGTGAGGATTTTAGTCGCTAGCTACCACACTGGGCCCTCAGACAATTCTTATGAACACATTTTCCACACTCAAACAGTAGAAAAATGGGTAGGATTTAAACCAGAATAAAATTCTAGTGGGGAAAAAATGTCTGAAATGGAAAAAATATTGGGTAAGATCAACACATCAGGCATTCAGGAAATGACTGGCACACCTGGAGCCACAGTAATGGATCCGATAGAAAAAAAACTCCACAAGGAAGACAGTGTCAGACATGGGACAACATAAGGGGTCTCAGAAGAGACATGAGGGGGCAGGAGTCGATGCCTACAGTTCTGAGAAATTTCACCAAAGCAGATGGGAACCCAATGGCTGACAACATGATGAGAAGTATCTCAGAAACACCTCAAGGGGACCAGGCGCAATAGCTTAGTGGCTAGGGTCCTCGCCTTGCATGCACCAGGGTCCCATATGGGTGCTGGTTCGTATTCTGCCTGCTCCACTTCCCATCCAGCTCCCTGTCTTGTGGCCTGAGAAAGCAGTCGAAGACAGCCTAAGCTCTGGGACCCTGTACCTCCGTGGAAGACTCAGAAGCTCCTGGATCCTGGCTCCAGATCGGCTCAGCTCTGGCTTTTGCAGCCACTTGGGGAGTGAACCAGCTGATGGACGATCTGTTTCCTTCTCTCTGTAAATCTGACTTACCAAGAGGAAAGTTCAGGGGCTGAATAACGAGAGCTCCCTCTTGCGGCAGCCCATCCTTGCCGTGGTCTGTTTCCACGGACGTGCATACTACACACACAGTTCTCTACCACTAACAAGCCAGAAAGTGCGAAAACAGTCCAAAGTAAGGCAAGGACAGATGACTTAACCAGATCACTCAAGTGTTATCAATAACTATAAATTGTATGAACACCCCTGTTAAAAGGCAGAATCTAGTAGACCAGATAAAAACCAGATCTCATCACTAAGGTGCCTACAAAATAAAGTCACTTCATAGCTACATGAGGGGCTGCCTGCCTGCCAGGGTGAAGGGTTGAGAAGAGCCAAAAATGCCTATGGGAGCTGATCTGGCCAGGAGACCTGCAAGCCCACTCACCCCCTTCCACCACCTGAGAACACCGCAGCAAGGCAAATCCACCAAGTTCTCAACCAGCCTTGAACGTCCTAGCTGCCGTAAACAATAAATTTCTGTTTAGAAATGATCCGCTCTAAGGTGCTTTGTTGTAACAGCCTGAAGGACTAAGACCATGGGGTAAAAGTATCCAAATGGAAAGAGATATTCCATGCTAGCACTAGTCAAAGCTGGAGGAGTTATTTACAGGATACAGCCAGTTTCAGAGCAAGGGATTTTATATAATAGATCATTTCATCAACAGTGGAAACCATTTAAGTGTGTACGCACTGAGAGTAGCTTCAATGTTGATGCAGCAACCGATGAATTACCACTACACACTCAATACCCTTTTCTCAATAATTGGGAGAACAAGCACAAATAAGCAGACACAAACACTACTACCATCAATCAAATGGACCTGATGTGGACATGGGGGGAAGCCGGCCAGGAACGGTCAGCAGGAGCAGGAAGTGCTTTGAGCTGCCTCTCAGAGAACAGACACAGCAGGCGGTGCTTAGGCCGAAGAGCGTCCGTTCTTGGAACCTCATCCATGAGGTAAGGCAATGGGTTTCAAGTCACCACGATTGCTCATGCTAATCATTTTACTGTGCATAAAACCACAAGTGAAGCACACCGCAGCCAGGACCAGAGAACAGGTGGTCTAACTAGTAGAAATTTGAGGCAAAACATGAAGCCAGGTGCAGAACCTGCCTGGGTCCTGCACACCTGCGTAATCTGTCCAAGCAGATCAGTTGATCTGAGCAAACAGATCAGCTGTATAGCCGCGTAGTTCTCCCAGCTTGGCTTGAAAGCACAAGGAAGTCCACACCAGGACCTGTGGGCTGACCTGGAATGGCACGTCTACCTACGGACACCAAGGCAGGCATGCCTACATTATGCTACCCACAGGTGGGGAGAGAGATGAGGGAGGTGAGGCAGGACTTGACACAGCCCTCAACAAATTCAAGAGTTGGCATAAAAATCAGTTGCATCCCCAAACACTCCTGAGATAACCCAGGCACCCCGAGTACACCTGCTGTCCTGTACACACAGATCGCCCTCTGCCAGTTTCCACCCTGAGTAACAGCCACTCTTCTACCTTGGCACAAATCCAGGGCTGATCAGGCCCTGCTCCCTGCACCTGTGGAACTACTGAATTCATTCCCAGGGCTCCTGCCAGTCAGATGCCCGGTGCCTTTCTTGACACCCCAAATCCAGCTTCCAAACACCCCCCAGAGCAGCCCAAGACCACAGGATGCCCGGGAGGGGGCCCAGGCAGGACTGGCTGTTGCACCTGCTGATGATGCCCTTCATCTGGATGTCCTTGTCCTCTTGCTGCCTGCGCAGCCGCTCCTCGCCCTCCTCCAGCCGAGCCTGGTACTCCAGTACCAGCTTCTGAGTCGTCTCCTCTTGGCACTTGAACAGGGTCTCATACTCCTCCAGCTTCTTGGTGGAGATCCGCAGCTTGTCTTGCAGCACTGCCAGGTCCTACCGGGGGGGGGCACATGCCACAGGCACAGCACCAGGGCACAGAGAGCACAGCCTGTCAGCGGGACCCCACCCCTGCACTCAGCAGGGTATGCCTGTGGAGTCCCTTTCTGTCCAGTCAGAAAGGGAGCTAAGCCTGGCCCCCACCTAGGGGTCTCCAAGTTCCTAGCCTCACCTGTGTGGCAAGAAAGATTCAAACCCATCCTTAGGAGTCAGGGTTAAACTGGGGCCTTGACAATCTGATAATAAACGGTAACAATCTCTTGGACAGATGAGAGACATCAGTGTCCTGAGGGGTGGGGGCTCTGCAGGTGGCGAAACAGAGGCCCAAACAAGGTGACCTGTCACACAGAATGATTGGCCAACCAGTGGAGTAAGATCCTGGGTTCCCAACCTCTCCTGGCTCTCAGGCCAGGGTGGTGACAGTGGCAGGTGGACAGGAAGAGAGGTCAAGTGTAGCTGCATGGGGCTTTCCATATCTGACCCAGGGACAGGTGAACAAGCAAGAGACCACCACCCAGGAAGCCACATGGACTATAAAGCAGGGCCGGATACCATGGGACACTGGGTCAGGGCACTCCCAACCAAACCATGGCTCTTGGAGCACTGTGTGCCACGTCCCCTGCCCGTCTGCGGTATCATGGTGAAAGCAGGTGATGCAGCCAGTCAAGGATGGTGGAAGGAGGCGGAATGTAGCATGGAGATGGGCCTTGCCCGAGGCAGGGGAGGGGAGCTCTGCCACCCACGCCCCATGCCTGCTCAGGAGCTGCCGCAAGCTTTCTTAGGGCCCTGAGGGAGTCAGGAACATCCAGATGGGTGGTGGGGAAGCAGCTGCCTTTCTGGGGTCTCTGCCCTGTGGTTCCCTGGGCTTGAGCCTCCAGGTGGAGCCAAGCACATCCCCAGACCCAACCAGATGCCAGGATGGCTGGGAGGCCCATCAGAGCGCCACATAGGTGCCAGGAGGGGAGAGTGGGCGTTTCAGAACCCAGCTTCTTCCCCTGGAGGAAGGACATCCCCGTGGTGATTAGAGCCCTGGGAGCTCTGTCTGGGCAGGCACCAAGCCCCGTGGCATGCCTGTACCCTCTGAAGCTTGGCTGCGTTAGTCTGATCATCAGGTCCTGCAAGCCCTCCCAGGGGCTCTGCCGCACAGCCTGTACTGGAGACCTCATGACAAACACAGCCCCCTCTGCGGCTCCCCTCCAAAGTTCACTCACTGAAGGCCTTAACCTCTCGAACCCCGGGTGGGCAGGGGACTGGCCGCTGGAGGACCCACTGCTGCCCGCCCGGCCCAGCCCACCCCGCCCAGGGGGCTGCTTTACCTTTTCTGCTTGGCTGAGCTCCTCCTTACTCCTTAGCCTATCTCTGTGGGGGGGGTCTGGGCCAAGGCCCTCGTCTTCTAACAACTGCGCGTTCATGGTCAAGAGCCAAGCGGCCGTGCGGTCCAGGGCATTGGGGCTCACGGGTGAAGGGCCCTACAAGGAAACACAGCTGTAAGGGGCTGGAGAGGGCTATGAAGAGGAGAGCGGGGAGTGGCCCAGGGCAAGCCCTGGTGGAAGGGAGAGGCCTTGCTGACTGGCATGTGCCTGGGGGCAGCCTGGGCCCAGGAAGCCCCAAGTATGACGTGAGTGACCACCAGGGCAACTGGGCTCAGCCCCTGCCTCCTGCCTGCACAGGGACCCTCCACATTCCTGCAGACTGCACTGAGGCCCGACCAGCCTGACAGCCTTCGGGGAAGGTGAGTGTGAGACCCTGTAGGGGCCACGTCAGGGCCAACCCTGGATTCAGGCTTTCAGAGGCCTTGGAGCAGAGAGAGGCCCCTTTCCTCAGCCTCCCTCACCAGCCTGTCCTCAGGGGAGTGGGCAGAGTGGCCTGGTATTCCCTAAGGCTCTGGTGTTTGTTTCCTGGGATTCAGGCAAGAGCCAAGGGGATTGGGAGGGTGCAGTGTGTGTGGCAGGCCCTTGGTGGGGCAGGATGCGGCATCACACAGCATGGGATGGCAGCCGCAGGTGGATGTGGAATGACGACGGGTAGACACACGCCGTGGGGTGTGATGGCCCAAGAGCCTGACCCTGCCCTCTGGTCCTGCCCCTGCCCCAGCACTGACCTGCTTGTGCGCTGCCCGCGGCTTCAGTTCCGGACTGTCCCCCTTGGAGGAGGAGGACTGCTGCCGCAGCCGGGCACCCGAGCTGGGCCAATCAGGCGAGGCTGATGCCAGGCTCCCGCTCGAGGGTCGTGGGTACTGCAGGGTGCTCAGCAGCGTAGGGGGCGTCCGGCCCCGGGGGGCAGGTGGCGGTGGTGGGGGTGGCGGTGGTGGCTGGTCAATCCTCCGCTGGGGGCCGGCGCTGTTCTGCCGGGGCACTGTGGGCTGCCCACCCTTCTCAGTCAGCGACATCTGCCGCCGTGCCAGCTCGCCGGGCCGCCGCGCCAGCTCCTCCGCCGCGGCACTGAAGCTCCCAAGCTTGGCAGTGGCTGCCAGCTCCTCACTGTTGCTGTGGGAGCTCAGGGAGCTGTGGCCCTCGGAGCCGGAGTCGCCAAGGCCACGGGGCGACAGTGGCAGGCCGGCCGCCATCTGGTACACAGGGTTCTGGAAGGAGAGTGGTGCCAACAGCTGGGGCCGGCCTGGTGTGCCCTCGGAGGTACCCGGCGTGGTCGGTGTCTGGCCTGCCCGCCGCACTGTGGCCAGCCCTGCCAGGCTCACGGGGGTCGCTCGGGCTGGCCACCCAGCCACCAGCTGAGTTGCGGGCACCTGTCCGTCAGCGGGGAGGACATCTGGGCCCACTGGAGAGCCTGCCTCCCCATCCAGCGTGCGGGCGTCCTGGAGGTCCACCATGGACAGGCTCTTGCCGCCATTGGCCATCTGGAGATCCGGCTCGTTGGCTTCCGAGTAGCTCGAGCTGCGGGCAGGTGAGGGCTGGACCCCGGAGGACCTTGTGACAAAAAACAAGTCCTTGTTTTCGGGGGTTGGAGACGGTAACCGGGTGAAATCTATCAGACTGCAGGGAGACAAGCACACACAGGGAAAGAAGGGGAAAAGAAGAACCGTGAGTGTAGCCACGGCGGGTCCAGACCACAGCACCCCCCGACCTGGCGGGGCCTGGCAACCCAAGCCCAGGCTGGAAGGAAGGGGCAGGGGCGGTACAGGACAGAGTCCAGGGGACCAGTGGCCGGGACAGCTGCTCCTGTATACAGCTTCTGCTCTAGGGGCCAGGGTGGCCTGGCAGGCCCTTTCCCCACTGGACTCCAGCCTGGGATGGCAGTGGCAGTGACGAACACTTGGGAGGGGAGGCTTGGGCCTGGCGTGCTCCGGAGAATGCCTCAGCTAGACCCACACCTCCAGCCCAGAGCTGCCATGCACGGACCCTGCCTCCACAAATCCAACCTCACAGTCAGTGGGGCTCCCTCTGCCTCTTCCCTCTTGCTCCAGCTCAGACCGAAAGCCACATGGACCTGGCAAAGCTTCCCTTTGCCCAGCCTCCTGCTGCCACTCCCTTAATTGACTGGCAGGCGGGGGCTGGCGTTCCTGGCAAAAAACAAGGCATCAGAGGAGGCTCTGTCAAGGGCATGACTCAGGTAGGTGGGTCTGAACCTGCGCAGTGGGACCCACCACATCCACTGGTTGCCTCTTGGGCACCTCCACGGGAGCCCCCAAAGTAGTAACCCTGGGGTGTGGGGCCAGGTGGCCTTCGAAGAAAACCTATGGGGGTGACAGGGCTGTGCAGAGGTAGGTAGGCAGCAATAAGGAAGTGGGAGGCTGGGAATGGGGGTAGGATGGGAGAGGTCAGAGCAGTTGGGGGCCAAGAAGACCTGGACCCGAGCAGCAGATACAGTGGGGAGAACCTGCATACCCAGATCAGTTCTCAGCACTCCCCCTACACCCATCTGCCCTTTGGGCCTGTCCCCTTGCCTCTTGTTTTGTGACTCAGACCCCTTTTCCCAACCTGAGGCTACACACTGGTTGTGCTGAGTTGGCACATGTGTCCCGTTACCCCTCCCACAGCCTGCAGCTCTTACCCAGAGAGATCGTTCTCAATCACCATCTTCTGCAGTCCAGCCGAGATGCTGCTACTACCAGAGCCCGGGGTGGAAGCCAGGTCGTTGGTCCCCACGAGCTGCCCACTGCCTGGGGCACTCAGCGCCGTGTGAACATCCCTCAGGATGCGAGGTAGGGGGCCCAGTTTGGCCACAATGCTCTGCAGATACAGCAAGAAAAAGGTGTAAGCTGCTGCAGGTCCCTCCCTTCAAAACAACAGAGGAGCCTGCCAAATGCAGATCCCTTCCCCAGGTTCCCAGGGAGAGATGCTGACCTGGCCAAGCCCCTGACCCTAGTGCCTCTGCAGACAGGAAAGTCCATGTGGATTCCCAGAACACCCCATGCTGACACTTCTCCCTCTAGGAGGCTCCCGTGACAGCCCTGTCCCCCAGCACCTGCCCAGAGGGTGGGCCGGGGGCCTCTCTGACACCTGAGCCCCAGTGGAGATGGTCCAAGCACAGAGCAGACACCTGTGGGTGCCTGTTGGCTGGGGCAGTGCCTGGGCCCGTGTGAACCTTGCTGTCATGCTTTTGACAAGCTGCTGGGGATTCCAGGCTGGAACTTGGGAGGGGGGTGCTGCTCCATCTGCTCATGCGCAGGCTTCGATGGGGGCCTCTGTGCAACAACACTGAGCAGTCTTGATACCTAACAGCTCAGTTTTAAAGCCCTGTTACATGCTGGTCCCAGTGTGCCAAGGCTCAGATCTGGGAGACAGTGACCAGCACAGGCTTGGGACAGGGGCAGGGAGGGGGAGTGACACTGCCGCATGCAGTGTGAGGCTCACAGGGGCTTGAAGGGCAGGGGGAGGGAAAGGCCTGGCCCTCCTTTCCATTTCCCACTCCTGTATCTTAGCCAACAAGTGGATACAAAAGAGTGAAAAGGACTGGCATGGATTAAACAGCATGTGCTCACTGCTAAGTGAACAGCTGGGATCAACCTTGGTATCCTCAAAAGGGGGCTGGGGAAATAAACCAGGTTTCTGTAAAAGGGCCGGGGTCACTTAGAGGGCAGTGGAAGTCCTGCAGAGCGCGCCAGGCAGCTGCAGCACTGTCAGACGCATTTATGGGAATATCACTGTTGACTGATGGCCAAGTACAAGTCTAGAAGGGCCTGTAACTTCCTGCCTGACCCATGCAGGCAGTCCTCACAGTGGGTTTTTAGGAGTGACTTCAAACTCCAAGGCAAGGGTGTTTCCAGTGAAGCAGCCACATCTGATCATGTCTCACACACAGATATGGAAACCACTCCCCCGCCCCCACAATCAGGCCTGTGCGCACAGGCACAGCCCCGAGCCCCGGCACCCCAGAGTGGGGCTGCCCTGGTGGGTACTGGTGAAAAATCAACACAGCACTCGCCCTCAGATCTTTGGCACCCAAAGATCCCCGGAGTGTCCCAGCAGGGCCTGATCATGCCACACTGGCGAACCTCTGACCTCGTGCTCACTCTGGGAGCAGCCCTGCCTCTGGCCCGCAGCAACAGGCACCTGCTCCAGCTGGCTGATGGCCTCCCAGAGCAGTGAGTGCAGACTGGAGAGCTCGCGGCCCAGGTCGATGTAGCCCTCGAAGCCGGCTGTGTTGGAGATGGTCTCGGGGTTAGAGATCTCCAGCAGGAAGCGCTGCATGTTGGTCCACTCGTGCTCCAGGAACTGGTTCATGAAGGACATGTACTCCTCCTTGCTGCCAAACCTGACACGAGGACACTGAGGGTGAGGTTGCTTCTCTGAGACACACAGTCCCGTACAGCTCCCATCCTGGTCAAGTTGTGTCCCTTGCCCAGGACCTGGAGTGCTCCGTTGTTTTCCCTCTTTGCTCATGTCTCCGAGTTTCAGTATCCTTTCGGGTAGGGAACCTTACATCCCTGCTTACTCCAGGGCTCTGATGGGATTTCAGACATGTGTGCCCACTGGCGTCTTCCCCTCCAGGAAGTCCTTCCCACTCAGTCTGACCAAGCCTACAAGTCATCACTATCACCCAAAACCAGGCCCTGTTCCTGGGCTCCTGATCTTGGTAGAGACATCATCAGCCACCCAGGTAACTGGTCAAAAGCAGCTGTCAACTGCTCCTTGCTCCCCACACAGCAAGACCTGCTGGCTTTATCTTCCAGCCACTGTCCCCACTGCTACTTGTGCCATATTTGCTGTGTTCTCATCCCACATGTACCAGTAAGGTGAACTTTTCAGGATCCAGAACAGATGTGGGCCACTCTCTCCCTTATTTGAAGTTCTGGATAGGGTCAGTGTTATGGTTTGGTGGGTTAAACCGCATGTGAGGTCAGCATCTTGTATCAGCACCAGCTTGAGTCCTGGCTACTCTGCTTGCCATTCAGCTGCTTGATGATGCACCTGGCAAGGCAGCTGAAGATGGACCAAGTGCTTGGCCTCTGTCACCCACACGGGAGAGGCAGGTGGAGGCCTGGGCTCCTGGCTTCAGCTTGGCACAGGCCTAGTCATTGTGGCTGTTTGGGTAGAGAACCACTGGATGGACACTGCCTTTTTTTCTTCTGCCTCTAATTCTGCCCTTCAAATAAATACCCCCACCCCCAGTAGTTCTCACTGTCCCATGTGGCCGTCAGCCCCCAATGTCCTCTTGGTCTCACCTCCTACATCCCCCACCACTTGATGTCCCAGAACTATCAGAGCATGGCTTCCTGGCAGGCCAGCCCCTCCTCCAGCTGCCCTTCCTCAAGTCAGATGAATGCCATCCTTCTAACCCAACTCCGGGGACTCCATCACCCAGGAAGCCAGCCATCTCCCCTCTCCACCAGCTCAGGACCCTTCTGAGACCAGGGTTTCTTTCTCTCTCACATTCTCTGCTTACTCAACAGGTCTCCGCAGCCAACATGCTGAGCTTACAAGGGCTGGGGCCATGGCTGACACCAAATGCAGCACAGGCAGCCCCAACTCACAATTTGTGAATGGATGATGGTTGAGATGACTGGTCCTTTCATTACAGCTGCTTCTCTGAGGATGCAGCTGAAAATGCCAGAAGTATTTTATGATCAAAGACATCCTGACAGCATTAAATCAGGACCATGTGAAGCAGCTCTAATACCCAATCACAGGGACTGTTAACACAGGAAACGCAGGCCATGCCCCTGGGAGGAATATTAGCCATTCATTGCAAAATGGGAAACGGGAGGATCCTTAAGCTAATTCAAAAAAGCATAAGGGGAAAAACATCTTGTCTTCTCACCTTTAAAATTTAAGGAGACATAAAAATATGGCATTCATTTTTAGAAAGGTTTAATATTGAAAAAACAGGGAGGGAAAGGCAGAAAGCAAGAGGGGCAGAGCAGGGCTAGCTGCTGCAGCCCTGCTTGGGGCAGTACATGGCAGGGTCTGGCCCTGTGGACTCTAGCCCTGGCACTGACTGCAATGGCTGTGGCACTCACTTGGCAAAGTTGGCCAGGTTCTGGGTAACCTTGGCGATGAGGGTGAGGGTGCGGGCTGTGCGGTCATCAGGGTATTCCTGCAGCAGGTTGAAGAGCGAGGGCGACATGATGGCAGGGCAGAGGAAGCGTAGGAAGAGGGAGGCACTGATGAGCCGCTCGCTGATGTCCGGCCGGCCGCGACTGCTGCACTCCTGCCGCCAGGAGGCGAACACCTCCTTCAGCTCCCGGGGAAAGACGCTGCAGAAGAGACATGGTGGACCCACAGGTCAGGCAGGGGCCTGGTTCTGGGTCAGATGAAACCTTGAGTGCCACCCAACCTTGGCTCCACCTCAACAGTGACATAACAGCTATGGAAAGTCAAGGTTGGTCCTGTCACCTGGGAACAGGTGCCCAGTTCTCAGCCAGTCATCCCATCTAATGAAGCTATCCTACTCCATGCATTCATTCTATCCTATCCTGTCCAGTCCAGTCCAGTCCAGTCCAGTCCAATCCAGTCATCTAATCCATTCATCTCGTCAATCCATCCACCTATCCACCTGTCAGGGCTGCCTGGGTGGTTAAGATAGTACAGAAACAGCATTCAGCACTGGATGGATGCAAAAGGGGGTTTGGTAAGCAGGAGGGGCTTTGGGTGAGGGGGCCTTTGGGATGGGAGAGGAGGCATGCACAGGGGTCTAAACAACCCAGCCAGCGCTGAACGCCTCCCCACTCCTGGCCTGGTCCTTCTCGTTTGCCCTGTGTAAAACTTTTCTTCTAACCTATGCAGCAGGCATCCAGGCCTAGAGCATGGGGGAAGCACAGTAACAGGCCATGTTCCCCACCCTCCTCTCCCCGGGTTTTGACACTCATTCCCTTCACCTGAGTACCACCACAGCAATCCAAGGTTTTCTAACAGAGCTCATAACAAGGAACGAGACAGTCCCCTTAAGCACAGGGGACACCCAGCTGTCCGCGTTCCTCAGTGGAGAATAGGGGCAGTGACTCCCTCACCCACTCCAATGAGTGGGCAGAGTTGGCACCAGAAGACAAGGTTCCTGGGTCTACCAGGCACTCCAGCCGGCCACCCACCTGGCCAACCTTGAAGTGACCTTCCCCACCTTTCAGCTCCCACCTTTGGCAGGCCAGGATTGCCTTTGTCCCAAGCTCAGGGTATACTGACCAGGACCCCAGCCTGCAGCGGGACTGTTTTCTCTCCCTTTAAACTGAGAGGCAGGCTTGCCCTGCCAAGCCCAGAGTGGGTCTGAAGACCGAGAACCGCAGGCCCCATGAGGGCCTCAGCCTGCAGTGTCCCCAGCAGGCCCAGTGGGTCACTCAGCAGGCTGGCTGGATCCACAAGAGCTACCAAGAGCAGGTAGCATGAGTGATGGGCAGCCCTGGCTTTTGCAGTGCCTGACATGGGTCTGGGCAGCAGACAGGTATTGCGGGGTCATGTCTAATGATTGTCTTTTCCACAACAGAGGGGCCCTGACTGATGTCAGAGGACACGGAAAGTGCTTGTCCTCAGAGAGGCTTTCCTGTTCGCTACTCCCAGCCCCATCCAGAAACAGCACAGCATAGGGAGAGGGCATAGCACAGCTGTGACTGGAAGCATGCTCCTGGGGAGCTCGAGGCTTCCTGCTGCCCTCCACCTCAGGCCCAGGGCTCTGGACCAGCTCAAAGTGTCCCTGGCCCAGGGGACCCCAGCATGTGCAGATTCAGAAACAGATACAATCCCACTCAGATGGGATCAGGTGGGGACAGCGCTCCAGCAGGGGTGGACCAACCCTATAGTGACAAGAAAGAAGGTCACAGCTATGGGCAGGTGTTAAGGACTTAAGGCAAGAAGGACAGGAGTGTGTAGGTTACATATGGCTGAGGAGGGAGGATGCAGCTGAGCCAGCCAGTAGCTGGGCAGCAACTACTTGTGGAAATGATCTTGTCCTTGTTCAGCCCTCACTTCATACCCCTAGGAGCCAGCAGGAGCCTGCAGACCCTGTTCTAATTAAAATCCAGATCTTGGGGCTGGCAATGGTGGCATAGTAAGCTGCAAAAGCAGCTCCTGGCTTCAGACTGGCTCAGCCCCAGCTGTTGTGACCATTTGAGGAGTGAACCAGTAGATGGAAAATCTCAATGTCTTTCTTCTTCTCTCTGTAACTCCAACTTTCAAGTAAAACAAATAAACCTTAAAAACAAAACAACAAAAAAACCACACAGATCTTTCTAGGTCACGCACCCTACCAGTCCCTGCTGGGTCCAGTCACAAGCCTGTGATGTGAGCAGTTAACTCCTAAGGACAGGTGAGAAATCTTCCATCCACCTGCCCCAAGGGTGGCTTTATCCATGTTGTCCTGTGCAGCAACTCAGGTACCTCCAACAGCACCTGCACATAGAAGGCCTCCACTAACCAACATGCAGGCTGGCTGTCCTGATGAACTGTCCTGGCCTGCTGCTTTTGACCATAACCCTAGAAAACCCAGGTGTTCTGGGCATTCTGGGACACTGCTCTGTACCTGGCAGCCCCCAAATGACCAGAAGGGCCTGCAGCCCAGGGATGCGGGGGGCTCGGGCAGCTGAAGGAGTCCAATCGCCATTGCTCAGGATGGGAAAGATGATTTGGGAGGTGCCTGAGAAGCTCAGGCCACAAAGGGGTCAGGGAACTGGCACTGACCAGTAGGAGTTGATGATCTTGCAGAAGGCCAGCTCGCAGCACATCTTGAGGTTGCCCTGGTGCTCAGGCAGGTCAGCAGCCGAGCACTTGCTTGGGTCCACTTCACAGTTCTCGTCCGATTCATACAGCGCTTTGATGAATTCACCTGGGGCCAAGGGAGCAGGGAGTGAGTGCTGGCCAGGCATTGCCCCACCCTCTGCCCAGCTGTCGGGCCATGTTTTGCCTACCTAGGGCATCCTGCAAGTACTTCTGGCCCACTAGCTTGAGGTATTCCTCGATGGCCTTGGTAGCCAGCGTATTCTCCCGGAAGATGAGGTGCTCATTATCCCCACAGCGGTCCACCTCTGACATCATCAGGTCCGTCAGAAAGTCCTGGGAAGTAGAAGGAAGCAGAGCAGGGCCTGAGGCAGGATTCCTGAGCTCAGGGCAGACATCTGAGGGGCTACTGAGGACAGCGAGCTGGGGAGGGCGGTCAGGGAGTGTAGAGGTCATCAGCTGGAAACATCAGATCTGGGTCAGGGTCATGGAGGCTGGCCTGCAAGAGAGCATGCCATAGGCAGCGGACAGCCTCCTGCCATCCCAGTTAGACCAATTAGACCTGATCGCTGTTAAGCCCTGACCAGGCCATGGGTGGGTGAGCAGAGTGGACTCCCACTGCCTACCCAACAATGCTAAAGAGGATGACTGGAACCACCTTCTTTCTGAGCTATCAACGACTGCCAGCACCAGCCCATGACCCTGTGGGGCTCCCACACCAGACACAGCTGTGCTCTGGAGGGCCCCCAGGAAGCACACAAGAGGGGCAGAGGTGGTCCAGCTGCTCTCCATGCTCAGGCAGGTGGTAGAAGGGACTCTGGCAGCTGGGCAGCAGCTGGGCAGGGCCTTGACTGCCTCATAGGCTGGCTGGAAGGCTCTGCAGTGGAGCCTCAGCCCATGCCTTCTTCCTCCTCCTTCCCTCTGGAGCCTGTACCTGCTCATAGCCACAGCCCATCTGGGAGTTAGGGGACAGGGAGAAGAGGAGGCTAACAGGCAGGGCAGGTGCCAGCCAGCAGGGAATGTGCCAGGACCTGGGCAGTGCCAGGGCTTCTGGAGCTCCAGAAACCCCTCACCACAGTCACCAACTGCAGCCCTATGAGATACAGAACTGTGCTTTGGGCCAGGAGCCCAGGTCGGCCACCAGGAGGCCATGCAGCAAGAAGGCAAGGCTATTGCTGTATCTGGGATTGTGCAGCCCAAGGATCCCTTCTCCACCTGCAGACAGCTGTCCCTTGTCTGGGTGCACCGAGGCAGAGGCAGGAAGGGCATTTCCTCCAGGTGCCCCACCACAGCCCCTGTTCAGATCAGTGGCCTGTCTGGACTAAGGAGGCACTTTCCCAAGGGGCAGGTCCCAGCGAAGAGAAAGCAAGGGCAAACAGCCCCCATGAGCCAGGTCGGGCCATGTTATTCCCTGATACACAGACGGGGGACTGCAGGGGGAGTCTAGGCCAGGACTTTAAAAAGCCAGAGCCTAAGGATAGGACAGGCTGCCCACTCCCACTGCTCCCACTACCCTTGTGGGGTCCCAAGCGTTCCAGAGGCAGGACACAGTCCACAGCATCCCAAGAGCAGGAGGTCTGCTGGCTCTCTGCCTTCTGCTCTCCCCACACCCCGCAGAGAGCCACAAAAGCACACAGCCTCTCGTCTCAGGTCACTTCAGACCTGAACCTGCTTCCTGAGCGCAGCCAGCCCTGGAGACCAAGTCCTCAAAAATCAGCCCCAGCTGCAAACAAAACAGCTCCTCCGCTGCGAGCCAACCTTCCTCTCCATCACATTTCCCAGAAGCTACCCAGCGTTGTCCAGGGAAGTTCAACAGGGCAGGCAGAGCTGTCCTATCTGGCAGCTTCACCTCAAGTGAAAGTCTGGGGGGTAGACAGGAGTTGGTCCACCAGAAAACACTATCTCTGCCCCCTCCCGCACAGCCATGTGAGGAAATCCCAGTCATGCCCACCTCTCCCCCGCATCAGGGCCTCCTGGGATCTCCAGGGACTCAGCTGTCGCTGGTTCTAACCGAGGGTGTTCAAGCCAGGTTCCCAACCTCTGCCTGACCAGCCCCTAGGCTGTGGGCTCAGGACCGTGGACCCCAGGGAGTATCCTACCCTATCATAACACCGACCTGAGGGCTGAGGCTAGCTCCTTAGCTCAGCTCATGAGGCTCTGTCCACATTGCCCCTTTTTCCTGCCCACTTTAGGCAGCACCCAAAACAATGGCACAGTGAAGAAGGCAGGCCCACCTGTGAGGCCCTCAGAGCCGTCATGTTCCACTGAGCTGGGTAGGTTGGAGATGGCATTTCTGTGGGGCCCGGGGATGGCTGCCTACCAGTGGGCATGTGCGGGTTGAAGAATGTGGGGAGGCTGTAACTTGATGTAGCACCCAGTGAGAGTGTCTGCCTACCCCACTAGGGGTGTATGTGTGTGGTGCGGGTGCCTGGTCACTGAGGCCAATGGGTTGTGGGGTCTGAATGTGCTAGAGGGGCCTAGCTGCACACCTGGCCCATGGAGGCAGAGAGAGAGGCAGCTGAAAGATCCATATAGGCCTCAGGGGTCAAACCCAGGGATGGGCAGGTAACATTGCAGCTGTGTCAAAGCCCTCCCTGGCAGCCAGGGGCCTGCACGCACCTTCACTTTGCCCGTACTCTGTAGGATGTGCACCAGGGCGGACGCCATCTCCTCCTTGGTCTTGGCGCTGAGGATGGGCTCAAGGGCGGCGCAGAGCCCCAGGTAGTGGTTGGTGATATGCTCGGCAAACTCCTTGTACATCTCCATGGGCAGGATGGTGATGGTCTGGTAGCGGGCCTTGATGCGGATCATGGGACCAGGTCCTTTGCCACCCTTGGGGTTGGGTGTCACCACGGGGTACCATTTCTCCACAAACTGCCGCCCGGCCACGGAGGCGGCGGGCAGGCTCACCAGGCCCAGGTAGCTGTTGCGTTCTTTCTTCTTCTTCTTGTCGGTCTCCCGGTACAAGTGGACAGTGACCGTGCGCAGGGGTGGCAGGTTGTGGAACTCAAAGTGCTCGCCCCAGAAGACATTGTCCGTCTTGAGCTTGCCTGTGGTCCGGGCGTAGAGCACATCGTCCAAGCACAGCTCACACAGGTACTTCTTCTTGGCCGGCAGGTCCTTGGCCTCGATCACCCAGAGCTTCAGCACGTGCTCCACACGCCGGCTATTGTCCTGTGTGTACACAAGGACCCAGGCATCAGAGACTGGAGTCTTCACATGAAGCTGGGGCTGCAAGGGAGGGGCAGGCCCGAAACAGGAGTGGGTAGAGCAGGAGGTGAAGGACACAGGCGAGATCTCTGGTCTGCCTCCCACGAGGGCACTGACCTGGGGCAGGTTACTTAACCGGCGCCTCGGTTTGCACTGCCATCAAATCAGAGCACAGAACTTCGCCCCCTGCAGGCAGAGACTGAGCCCAAGCCAGCACACTGCCTGGCCCCATCATGGGTCACAATTAGCTCTTCCTTACTTTGCTGGTTTGTGTAAAGGAACTTATAGAGGCGACCATGAATAAGGTCTGTTCCTACCACAAAGACAGCCTGGGCACTAAAGTCGGCTAGAGAAGCAGGTGAGGATGCAGATTACCTTTGGGGTCCCGCAACCTGAATCAGGGGACCCAGGTTCCCCTGTGTGCGAACACAGAGGAGGAAACCGACCCTGTGAATCAAGTGACTGGCAGGAGGAGAGACAGACATTGCAGAAGGGCTCCACAGGGACGAGTGGGCACAAGGGTTCCAGGCAGAGGGACTGCAAGGCCAGCTCCTCCTGACTCAGCCTCCTCGATGTGTAGTGTCAAGAACATGCCCACAGCTTCCGGCCCAGGCTGGCCAATTTGATCCCTCTCAAAGCCCAACAATACTGTCCATGCAGGTTGCTCCCATGCTGGCCTCACTCCTTCCAGCTGCTTCATGTCTGCCTAATCTTTGGCAAGGGGGATGCAGACCTACCTTGTTAGGGTGCACTGCTCGCCTCAGGTTCTCCATCCACTTATCCCGCTCAGCTGCTGACCGGCAGGAAAAGCACTTGCTCCCTGATGATGTGGTCACCTGTGGGGGCAGGCAGGATGGCATCACATACAGGGCAGGGACCATGACAAAGCTCAGTGCTGACACAAGGCAGGAGGGAACTGTGCTCTGTACGAGGCTCCCGTTACCCTGCAGATCACATCTTGTAGAGGGCAGGCTGAGTCCCACAGCAAGCCAGCAGTAGGGACGGTAGCCCAGCTCACATCGTTGGGCTCTTGCTCCTGGATCCTCAGCTGTGCCTCAATGTCATGCTACCCAACAGGAGAGCACTTCCAGGCCCTAACCTCCCTGCCCCTGACATGGCAGGAGAGAAGGACCAGGACCCCTGCCAGGTCATGGGGCATCAGGCCACTTAAGGCAGAACCACAGGCACCAAAGACACATGCCAGAGGAGGTACAAGAGTCACCTTAGCTGACCTCCTTGGAGGGCTCTCACTGGCCTAAAAACAGTGACAACGACAGGAACTGAAGCCCAGTGCAAAGCTGACCAGGAGAAAATGCCAATTGGGCTGTTCAGATGCACCCTGGGGTCACCCTGTCCCAATCATGTACCTATCACTCCCCTCCCTACTGGCTTCCTACTCACCTCCCAGCCAGCCTAGATGTGAGGGGAGAACTGCTGGCCCTGCTGTTTCTGCTCTAAGTCCCCAGTGCCCCTGACACCGGGCCCAAGGCCCTCCAGGGAAACCGGACTCCTTATGCAGGCACCAGGGGCCAGCAACCCTACAACATCCCTGCAGTGAACAGGCGGACAGGTATGCCTCGAGCCGGCCCTAGAGGCAAGGTCAGAGCCCAGACCAAGTCCAGTTTGGCTAGGAAGCCTAAACCCGAAAGGTTATCCAGTGGGCACAGAATATGGAACCAAAGAGATGAGCCAAGAGGTTGTCATGCTAGTCCCCAAAGGCTACTCTTCATTGCCCTGCTCCTTCTACCAGAGAGGTCCCAGGTTAGTGTGCAAGGGGGAGTCATTCTAGAAATAGGGGCCATGCAAGGGACTGGAAAAAAGAGTAAGGGCTCCCAAGACACCTGCGATACTAGGACCTCTGTCCTGCTGAAACTCAGATGTGCGGTGTGACACCTGACATCTTCTTGACCCAGCTGGGATTCCCTATGACCCAGGAAGGTAATCCCCGTGTAGCACCAGGTCAAAACACAGGAGTGCCCCCAACCGCCCACTTTTGGCGGTGTGAGCAAGCAGGTTCTAAGACACAGGCTATGGGACCTGAGCAACTCCACCTGGGCTCTTTCACTCACTCACCCCTCAGAGCCAGTAGCTCCATGGGCCAGCATGGAAAACACCTGTTGTCCATTTCCATGCAGCCCAGAGCAAGAAGGATGCCTGGCCAGCCCCCGGCCCACAGAGCACTAAAGGACACCAGGGTCCCAGCACTGCCAATCAGGGGGACCTACCTCAAAGCAGTAGTCCTGGCCTAGGATGCTGCTGTGCACGGGCTTGATCACCACCTCCTCCTCCATGCTGAGGTCCAGCGCCTCCACCGCACTGCTGGGGCTGAGCAGGGACTCGTGGGAGCGAGACTCCTTCAGCCTGGGCATCAGATGGGACCTAGGGAAGGGGCAGTGGATGCATCAGGTGGGTACTGCCAGAGTCAGGGTCAAGCTGGTGCCATTGCCCAGCGCCACCCAGCCTCCTCATCCCCTCTCCAGAGACAGGGGCTACCACCCAGTTCATTCTCTTTTCTATTTTAAGACACACTGGGGGGCGGGGAGAGTCACGACAAGGAACTGGCTGCACGCAAGCAGCCTCCAGGCGCTCTGGGCCTTTCTCACCTCCCCCCTGCCTTTTGCGCTGGCCCCATCCAAGGAAAAGCATTCATCAGTCCCCAGCATCTGTCCAGGACACTGTGAGCAAATCGTGCACCACACCCTGAGGCCTGCAGCAAGAGAGGGAGCCCTGTGGGCCCTGCTGCCCCCAACTTCCCAAAGAGGACAGTCTCAGTGTGGCAGGCAGGCCGCTGTCTGCACAGATAGGTGAGGCCCTCAGGTAGTAAACTCAGGGGCCCAGCACAGGCAGAGGGAATAGAGGCAGTCGCTGCCCCTTGGTATCCCGGGGAGCCTGGTCTGGTCCATTGCCCACTCTGTGATCCTGGACAAGCCACTTCTAGCTCAGATTCTGCCTTCCTCAGTGCAGCACATGGAGAGCAGCTCAGAATGCACCAAGCCTGGGAAAGTTCACCTCTGAGAGGGGATGTCCCTTTCCGGGTCACCAACGTAGACCAGGCCTTCCAGAGCCCTCCCACAGTTGGGACAGAGCAACAGCCTGAGCACTAGGTGGGCCTTACTCTGCTTGTGCCCATGGCCCACACCACTGCAGCTTGCCAGTACTGGGCCCATACAAGCCTCCTCCTTTCAATACCCTCCATGTGTCACCCAAGGCCTCACTTTAGGTCTGGCTGAGATCAAGGCCACAACCTCCAGGGACTCACAGCCTGGCAGGGTTACCATACATGACTGCAGGAATAGAAGGGGACTGAGCCCTGATGCCAGAAGGGCCCTGCTTTTTAAAAACTTTTGTAAGGCTTCTCAAGCTGAAGGCCACCCTATCCCCACCATTGAAGAGTTCCCCTACTCCGACATGGGGTTTAAGCTGGGGCAGGCCCAGGCACCCTTCTCCCACTGGCTCCCTGGACCCAGCTTAAAGCTGGCCACTGAAAGCTCTGAAGGAACAGACACGGGGAAGCTGTGGGACAGGCTGACAGGCAGGGAGCCCCCTGACAGGGTGTCCCATGGAGCTTCCCAACCTGGCCAGCTTGGGCACATCCCCAGTGCCCAAAGGAACATGCTAAACCATTCCAGGTGCTGATGCTCCTCCAATTCCTGCTCTGATGGCACCTCCTTCCCTGCAGCACTGATCAATACCACAGGTTAATCTTCCCTTGAGCTAAATCTAGATAACCTCCTTCCAAGTTGAGGGTTCTTCTTCCCTGGAAGAGATGCCAACCAGGGCAGTCACACATTCCAGGAAAGGCCTGAGGTCCTGCACCACATTCACAGGCAGCGTTCAGGTTGTTTTGTGGCCCAGTCTGGAGAATCCTGCCAGGTACAGTCACCAGGACCAGGGTGGATGGAGTAGGGACCCAGGAAGATCACAGGACTAGCTGGTGAGCTGAGGCCACCTCCTGCCTCAGGGATCTGAGCACACCTGGCCTGAAGACTGGAGTGGCCTGGGACCCTGCTCCTACAGCCCAATAAGTCCAGGCCAAACACAAAACAGCCAGGGCTGTGTGGCTGTAGAACCCACCTCTTCCTTCCCCACCATCCTGTTCCATAAACATGCCCCAGCTGGCCTGGGCACCCTGGGAGGCTCCTGGTGGGACAGGGACCTATGGGAAGCTCAGGGTCCTTCATAAGCCCTGCCTGGGCCTGGCCGGCCCCAGCTGGCTGCAGCTGGTCAGTCTTGCCATTATATCACCTCTTCATGGGGTGGGAATTTGGGGGGATCTACAGGAGGCACATCCACCACTGCAGGGCAAGTTCACTAGGAAGAAGAGGACCAGGAAGTCAGTGAGCAGCAGAGCCCTGCATGCGAAGGCCCCACCCTGGGCTCTGATGTGTGCATACACTGTCCTTCCTGTTCACCTACAAGTCCCCTTTCCAGTGCTCACACACCATCCTGGGTCCTCATCCAGTCAGGGTCTGGAGATCTATTACAACCTAGCTCAGAACGGAAAATGGCTCTTTGCTCACTTCCTAGACCTAACAGGACTATCCTATGGCCCAAGAGCCATCTCTCAAGGAAGGTGGCCCTACCCAACACCCAAAGCACCACTTAGCCGGTCTACAACAAGGCTCGTCTCACCCTGACCTCCCTAGGACTCACACTATGTGTAGCTGGGCACAGAGCCCATGGGCACTGGGGCATGGACTGGGGGCGGTCTCCGGAGCAGGGGACATACCCAAGCTGGCCAGGTTGGGAAGCTCCATGGGACACCCTGTCATGGGGCTCCCTGCCTGTCAGCCTGTCCCACAGCTTCCCTGTGTCTGTTCCTTCAGAGCTTTCAGTGGCCAGCTTCAAGCTGGGCCCATGTGAGGCAGGAAAGAGCCACCCAAGACCACCTGGGTTTGGCATAGCCTCTCTACCTGAGGGGAGAGCAGGTGTTTGCCTGTGCCTTGCTCCACTCCAGCTGCAGGGGAGCGGTCCTGGTGGATGCCCACCTCCACCCAGCTGGCTGCCCATCCTTACATACTCAACACACAGATGATAACCTCACTCCTGCATCACAGGAGAGGAAGTGAGGCCCTGTTACTCTTTAGTGTCGTTCTCACTGCACACCCCTCATCTGACAAGGAAGCAAGTCTTACCGTGGATGCAGGCCTTGGTCATTAGCATGTACAGAAGCCGCCCTATCAGCACACAGGTGGAGGCCTTTCTTGGACCCGATTGTGGAGGGGGTGGCAGGCCCTCACAGGGTCACAGATTCAGGGCCAGTGCTGCAGCATAGTAGGTAAAGCAGCCACCTGTGGCACCAGCACCCTATATGGGCACTGGTTTGTGCCCTGCTTCCAATTGAGCTTCCTGTTAATGTCCCTGCTAAAGTAGCAGAGGATTGCCCAAGCCCTTGGACCCCTAGACCCATGTTGAAGGGCAACAAGCTTCTGGCTTTGGCCCAGCCCAGCTCCAGAAATCACAGCAAATGAAAGATCACTCTGTCTCTCTTCCCTCTCTGCAACTTGGCCTTTCAAAGGAATAACTAAATCTTGGGCCACTGCCAAGAGACTACCATTCCTAGCAATCACAGGCTCAAGGTGACCCCAAGACTGTGAGCCTCTCTGGCAGGTCTCGTGTGCCATCTGCCAAGAGGACACTTCCCAATCTCCAACACCCAGCACTAGCACCTCTTCTCTTCCCATGGCCTTCCTGGACAGTAACATCGGACAGGCAGGGCTGGGGTCTGTCACATAGCTGTCTTCTGGCCAGGCAGGGGTACCTCGAGATTGGAGCTGGTCCTGAGTCAGAGCCTCAGGGACTCAGTAAGCCTGGAGGGGAGAGGTCAGCTGGGACAAGGCCAGCACTCCTTGAGTACTGGTGACATGGCTGTTCCCTGGGAGAAGAGACAGGGAAGGTTCAAGGGCGGCTGCCTATTCTGTTTCCAACAGCAGATCATAATTTTCATCCCAGTATCTTAGAAATGCCCTGTCCCTTTCTATTCCAGCTCAGAGCTGTCCAAGATTTTCCCGGCACAACTGACTCTGGCCCAGGGCAGCTCTCTGGGACCACAGGATCCAGGGTGCCCTGGCCTTCCCTCCCCACTTGGGTCTGCTCCATGGCATGGGACCCTATGGCAGGCTGCACCATGGCTTCCAGGTAAGCTGCAGGCTGGTGGCACCTTTGCTGACTCCAGAGTTGTCCAAAGCTGGTCTAACTGGGGCCTGGGGGCAGCTCTTTCTTGGGACATGCCTCTTAGCGGCACGGTCTCACTCCAGCTCCCCTCGTTTGCAGCCTGTAGGATCAGTGAGGCCCAGGAGCCTCAAGCTGTCGGCTAAGTTCTACCTGAGATGCCTCCCCATGGCTCCCTGACTGAGCCAGGAGGGTCCACCTCCTGGGGATCTCAGCCCAGCTGTTTCTGGAGTCTACGCTCCTTTTTCCTCGGCTGTTTAAGTTGTTAAGCACCAGTCTAACTCTTCCAGCAAAATGCTAGCCTGCACAAACCTGTATCACCTGTGCTGGGGACTGCCCACCTGTCACCACTGCCATCCCCACCCTCACCCCCTGAGTAATTCTCACAGTTCAGACAGGTGACGACACAGCTAGCAAGTGGCCGAGTGGGGCTGACTCCACGACTGACTCCATCAGCACAGACTGGCCCTTCATTCATCCAACAGGTGACCGCTGAACAACAGGGTAAGGGAGGTCCACAGCCAGGCTCACTGTACTCTGTGACCTGCCCACTGCAGGACACGTGGGCACAGACTTGGGTGGAGCTGCTACTGGAAGCAGAGCCAGGCCCCAACAGCAGGTCATTGTGAGGCCTGGGCAGCAGGAACAACGGGACACTGTCCTGGCTCCTGGGGCACAGCCTTATCTGAGAGCCTTCCAGCCAACCCACACGTTGTTTTTCAACTGTGAGCCTTTTTTCTCCTAAAAGGTTAGTGACACAGAAGCTCAGCACATGCTCCATTATCAAGGAAGGAGGGGACCCTAAAAGGAAACTTGCAATGATTCCAAAGCCCTACTTCACACAGTGAGGAGGTCCTCATCTCTGTATGAGGAAAGTCAGGGACTGGGGTCCTCTGGCATATCCCACAGCCACAGAGGAAGCTGCCCCCCATGGCCTCAGCGGGTCAGGATTGGGACTCAAAGAGACAGTTCCATCTCAGTTGCACCTGTCCCCAGATGCTTTTATAGAGAGCAGACACCAAGTCTTTAAAGTGGACATGCAGGTTGCAGACATCCCCCTCTCCCCCGCCAGACCCACTGCTAACAAGACAGGAAGGGGAAGCCTGTGCTGCAGCCGGCTGCAGGCAGACAAGGGGCTGAGCTCCAGGAACACAGGTGCACAGACACGCACAGGAGAGCACGGCACAGGGATGTCCCTCAGAGCTGCA